ATCCCCCCCCGTGCTGGTCTCGTGTGCCCCTGTGCCCATGAACTGGTCATCGCCATCAATATCTTCATTATCCATTGTGGTTTCGTTGATTGAACCACCCTCATCATCATCATCATCATTAGCGTCATCATCATCATCATCATAATAATAATAATCATCATCATCATCATCGTCATCGTCATCGTCATCGTCATCGTCATCGTCATCGTCATCATCATCATCATCATCATCATCATTTTCATCACCACCAACGTTGTCACAAACATCATCATCAACAACATCGCAACCATTACTGCAGCATCATATAATACCACCATCACCAAGATCTTGTGTATCGTATCATCACCGACATCATCACCGCAGCATGAACATCATTGTCAACATCATCGCCGCCATCAGGACCACCATCACCCTCATAAATTTAATCATCATCAGCATCGTGTTTCCGTGTGCATGTGGACGTGACTGCGCCTGGGTGCCGTGCCCGTGGACTGTGGTGCCTGTGCACAACGGTAAAAAATACTTGTTTTTACCGCATTTTACCAAGGCTTTCGGTCACATTCGCAACTGAGGGACTCAGGCACTGCGGTAGAGAAAAACCATTTTCGATTTGTACTGTTCTAATAGCCGCGCAGATAAGTCAAATTTTTGTTGAACACGCTGTTTTTCCCCGTGCCTTTCAGTAAAATCCATAGCTAAGGGACTTGGACATTGCGACGCAAAGCATAATCTTGCATTCTTACAGTTTTGTGATCGCGATGTCAGTCAAACAGATCGATTCCAGTGAGCCACGCTTTTCGAAAACTGCAAACCAGCCCCCCAACAAACAATATTTTTACAATTTTGATTCCGGGTTTCGATAACAAAACCAAAATGTGCATTTTGAATTTTTACTTAACGTGCGATAGAAAACAATGCTCTTTTTACAACGCACGCGATAAACATTTCGAGCTGTGACACCCAGGTAAACCGGCCATTCTTTTTCTCGATGTCTACCCTTTTGACCGCGGAAATTTGCATTAGATAAAATTGAAGATTAGTTTTGTCCGGAAGAACGGCAAAACAACTAATATGTTCGATTTTTCCGTTTTCACCGCGCCTTTGGTTAAAAAATGGCCTGAAACCCGGGCAAAACGGTAAACATAATCGATTTTTACCGTTTTTGCTGACGAAGTGCCTCGCGGGAACCCCGTCGCCCGAGCAACACTGGTAAACCAGCACAGCCTATATACCTTGAGTCACCTGTTCAGGATTTGCCACTGTGTTTTGACAAAGCTTTGGACTGAATCTCACAGCCAGGATATCTCAGCGCTAGAGAAGTCCCTGAAGACTTTGGCCACCAGGCAGGCATAATGAAAGACAGACGTAGTGGCAGGGGTTCGAAAAGTGTTGCCACTCTCACCCTGGGCCATTTCTTGGTTGTTTGCTTTGCAACACCTTCGTCGCATTGAGTAGCGCAAGGCCTTGGGGAATCCAGCAAGCTTTGCCACATTCATTTCTTCCAGTGCCCCGCAGTATCCCCCGCCCTCACTCTGGGACATTGCAGGGCTACATTGCATAAGGCAATCACTCCATGCCCAGACTTACACCTTAGCCCCCTTCCTCCTCCCCTCCCCTCCTCTCTCCCCCTTTTTGTCATCTTGCGTGTTCCTGAATGTAATACTCAGGTTCACCCCTCTCTCACTGGTGTGTCCCTGGACGCTTGTGCGTTGCTGGGAACACCTGTCCTCTTCCTTCTCTTTTCCCTCTCTCTCTTTTCTCCTTCCTTTCCTTTCCCTCCTTCTTGTTTGGGTGTCCCTGATGCTTTCGTCATAGCTGGGAACCCTCCTCCTCTCTTCTTTGGGTGTGTCCTTGGACGCTTGTGTCGTAGCTGGGAACACCTTCTTCCCCTTACTACTAGGTGTAAGGACGCTACTTTGACGCTACTAGGGGCTCCTGGCCTTACTACTAGGTGCAAGGACGCTCCAGGACAGAGATGCCTCCTGTTGGGGAGGCGTGTGACCCATCCAAGCTGTCATGAAAACGTACCTGCTTGGTGCACCTGGGCGCGTTATAAGACGCAGCTGGTGGCCACTTTCCTTCCTTTTCTCTTGTAAAGCGTTAATGCCTCGGCAGTCATGCGCGGAACGTCGTCACCTTGTCGCGTTTCCGCAGTTCGAGCTCGTGGGCTTTGAAGGTTCACCTTAGGCGTTCAAACCTAGGTGGGCGTGTGGCATGTGGCATTCGAGTCAGTATGCATTTCTATAAGTGTGTCACCTTTGGACTCAGCTTAGAGCAAAATATGCCTCCCTTTGGGGAGGCGTGTGTGTGTGTGGACTGTACTGTTCGTGTTTTCTTTCTGTAGAGCAGGAGGCCCATGGACACTTGGATGGCATGCGCCAACGAAGACCCATCCAAGCTGTCGTGAAAACGTACCTGCTTGGTGCACCTGGGCGCATTGTAAGACGCAGCTGGTGGCCACCTTTCTTCCTTTTCTTTTTGTAAAGTGCTAATGCATCGGCAGTCATGCACGGAACGTCGTCATCCCGTCGGCTCGTCGTTTCGTGGCCTTTAACTAAAGGCGCGCAGCCCCCCTTTACCTGGTTTTTTAGGTTTTGGTTTCTTAGGCCGGCGTGTGGCACCACTGTCAAGTCAGTACGCATAATCATAAGTGTGTGTTTGGTGGGGCACAATGAAGCGCACAATGAAGCACACGCGTGGGCTGGGAGTGATGTTTTTATAGGGTACAGACAGCGGCTCGAAGGAGGAACTGATTCAGAGTTTAGACCACATAACCTTGATATCAAGCTTCCGACTTAGGCTTCAACATGGCCAGAGTTAGACATCGGGAGTCCAAGCTCGGTCGCTGTCCGCCAGGTTGCTCGAGGCCACCTCACAGGGTGTGGTCCAGGCCTAGCGGATTTGGCGAGACGTCTCATACTAGCAAGAAGCTTCTAGGTTGGAGGCCATGGCTAGTATATTGGCCTCCAACCTAGCTCCTTGCTAGTATTACTAGATGGCCTCCAACCTAGAAGCTTCTTGCTGGTACTATATACTAGCGATGGCCTCCAACCTAGAAGCTTCTTGCTAGTAGTAGTCAAGATTTGTTCTTCATCTTCGTTCCCAATAGCTTCTAGCTACTAGTAGTAATGGCCTCCAACCTACTAGCGATGGCCTCCAACCTAGAAACTTCTTGCTAGTAGTAGCCAAGACTTGTTCTTCATCTTCGTTCCTATTAGCTTCTAGCTACTAATAGTAATGGCCTCCAACCTACTAGGGATGGCCTCCAACCTAGAAGCTTCTTGCTGGTACTACTAGCGATGGCCTCCAACCTAGAAGCTTCTTGCTAGTAGTAGCCAAGATCTGTTCTTCATCTTCGTTCCTAATAGCTTCTAGCTACTAGTAGTAATGGCCTCCAACCTAGAAGCTTCTTGCTAGTAGTAGCCGCGACTTGTTCTTCATCTTGGTTCCTAATGGCTTCTAGCTACTAGTAGTAATGGCCCCCAAACTACTAGCGATGGCCTCCAATCTAGAAGCTTCTTGCTAGTAGTAGCCAAGATTTGTTCTTCATCTCTTCCTTGCCTTACCACTTGTTGCCTGATATTGGCCGTCAGGCCCTACTGGGCGGTCACGTTTTTTGGGTGGGCAGACAGGGATGTGGCAGACGTGTGCGTGATTTGATACTGTAAATTGACAGAGGGGAACCTTCTCATTTCAATATGAAGTTGTGTTCTTCCAAAGAACCTCAACGGCCAATAGGTTGGCAGAGCCAGGCTCAGCAGCTCATGTGACGCATACATTGCATTCGGCATCTTCTTTCGAAAGCAGTTTGTGTGACTGTAGAGACGGTAGTGTTTCAACAGTGCTGAAGCTGGAATTGTTAATTGTTCTCCTGCCCAAGACAGCGAGGCGAAACTGATTTGCCGCGAGGTGGCCCAAGATCTCTTGCAATTGGCAGATCCTGCAGGAGCCATCGGCAACACCAATTGTCACATTGGTGGTCAAAAAGGACGGAATCTTGTGGAACCACGAAGCGATTTCCTTTTTTTTTTTCCTAGGGTTTACTACTGTTGATCATTGATGAAAGAACTCCTGCACCAACACAGCAAACTCATACATGAACATACTGTGTTGTTGATGTATATATATATATATACATGTTTAGATTTTATGTGTTTATCTTCACCTCACATGTATTCTGGTGTCGTTCTTCCATTAGTCGTTTTTTTTGTTGTGGGAGGCCGCCTAGTCACCTAGTCTTCAAGGTCTCCAAGTCTCCGGCACCTCTGCTTGAGTTTCTTGAAGGTTCCCAAGTTTCTTCGCATTCTCAACCTCTTCTCAAAACCTGTGTGCTTCGCTCTTGGGGCCTCCGCGGTGGGACGTGTCAGACATCCAGAAAACTTATTTGCCGTTGTGACGCGAAGGAGTATTTGCCTCGAGGGTCAAGAGACAGCTCCCTGGTTTGGACAAGTGGATGATTGGCATGTGAAAGGGTACAGCTTTTGGGACATCTAATGATTTGTTGCCATGTCCGCAGAACCAAGGCCTGAAAATCCATTCAATCACATCGTGGATATGATGGCGAACCCCGAGAATATCATACTATGCCAGGGGGTCAGCGATGGCAGAAGTGGTGTGTCGGGAGTTGTGCGTCGCGAACAAACAATTGTGCCGAAATCTGCACAAAACTGATTGTGGAGCATGCTGGCGTGGAATTCTAGTTGCCAAATGCATTCCACAACATGTTTATTGCAGCACAAATACTGCATTTGGCCCTTTGGCTCTACGCATCTGTGTGGGCGAAGAGTGCCCGCATCACGGCAGGTACCTCCTGAAGACTGTTGGCCACTGCACTCTATCAGTTTCTCAGTGAAAGAGCCATCAGGTCTACAGAGACTTGAGCAGAAATGCGGAGTTGAAGCTTTAGTAACTCTCAGCAGATGGGACTTGATAACAGTTCCCAGGACCATGGAAGAACGTCATTTGTGACTTTAAGCTTGTCCAAAAGTATGTGTAGCAATATGCATTACACATGGCAAAGCTGCTGCCCAGTGCTGGATGCAAGTGCTGGACACGTTTTGTCCCTTTGTTTGTTGGCAAGGACTGTGGAAGTTGACCAAGCTGCCACTCACTCTGCGCAACGTTATCCCCTTTTCGCTCGCCCAGAGCTGTCACTTGGCCGGAAGCGGCCTTTCTGATTATGCTCTTTGGAAGGAACATGAAGGAACACATTTAATTAGTTGGCAGCCTCGAGTCACGCCTGTGCTCCGAACCAAGGATGAAGATCTTGCGCGCTCATACGGAGAGGGTTTCTTGCACCAATCAAACGTGCTTGTAGCAGAGCTTTTGCCGAAGGCTTCACTTGGCGGGGCACAGTGAAACCACCTGTTAATGCATTCATTGCGGCTATGTTGTTGAAACATTTTCCCCAGCACAGTTGCGCCTTCTTGTGTAGTTCCATTTTTCAGGTGCTGAAGCCTGCATCCGACTGGGACATCGCTGTGAGTGCAGGCAGCATGTCTGCTTTGGACCACACGGTGGCTATGTTTCTGAATCCTGGTGACTCTTGATGCAGCAGCAGAGGATGAATACAAACAACGGAAATGTGTTTGAGGGGAGGATTGAGGTTGATGCAGTTGAAATTTAATGAATCGTCCAAAGGCCTGGATTACGTACTCATGCATATATTAACCATCATTGTCCTTTATCATCCTTTATCACTTGTCACATTGTGAATCATGGGTGTTTTCTTCCAACCTTGCTGAGGATACCATTTTAATGGAAGAGCTCCTTGGCACAACAGTGCTCTAGTTCATTGCAATTGAATCAATGGTGGCATTTCTGCAGTTCTTTTCGCATCACCTGACCTCCAGAATCGGATGAGTACGGCGTATGTAATGATGCTTGCTGGCATCTAGCCAGAATAGAAGCACTTTACCAAGAGGCAAGATCCCACATTTTTTCGCATGGATACTTAGATACTACAGCTGCGACAAGATGGGTGAAAAAAACTATGTTAAGACAGTCGGAGCAAAGCAGGGTAGGCATGGGTGTGATCGCAAGAGAGTATATTGAAAGGTGCTACAAGTTCAAATGCCATATATATATATACATACATAGGTATATACAGCTGAAACGGGCATTTCAATTCTCTTGCCGGCTTTGCTCTTGAGCTGCCACTGATAGGTTCACCTTTCTCGCAATGGTCGATGCTTGTATGGCCGCTGGATTGTGCATGCCTCAGATAGCAATGAAATCCACTACAATGTTTCCACAATTTGCATGGCAGCACAAATTCTTGAAAAGCGGAGAAACTTGGTGGTAGATCTAGTCAAGTCTGCTGGAAGGTAGGAAGAAAAAGATTCAGGGGCTCCCAAGACAAATATGATTCAGGGGCCTCTGTATACTTCCACAAATGCGCGGGGAGGCAGGTATGTTCCACATTCATGGGCTTCCTTCAGTCAGCCTGTGATTGAGAATTGGGGAAAACCAAACCTGTGAGTATTTGGAAGGAGCACAGGATTCATTTGTTGGCATCAATTGGATGCCCCCCAGATTGCTTGCCCTTGCTTATTTTTGTAAGGCATATGGTGCCTGTGAAATGCGATGATGATGGGATATTGCCATCAGAACTTGCCAAAGTCATTGCAGGTGCCAAGGTGTTGCAACCTGGCATGACAGCCAGTCTACTGTACACATATATATATATACATATACATGTATGATATCATACAGATGGACGGACGGACGGACAGACAAACAGACAGACAAACAGACAGATCGATCGATAGCTTTATAGATAGATCGTTTGTTTCGCATATGCTATGCCGGCTATTTCCAGAGTTGGGCCAATGCACCAGGAGGACGTCATGTGGGGCAGGGCTCAAATTTGAGAGGTCAACTCCATTTTCCAGACTATCGTTGAGGTGTATATATATAGAGTATAAGCACCTAGCTGCTGCTGGTGGATGACCAACAAATCACATTGACTGAGGTACACTGTTCCAGCTGCTTGGCATGAAGGTGTGGTAAAGATCCGGATGCTATGAACAATTAATGCCTTTGCGAAGTGTTCACCCACAGTCGCCCTAGACAATTGCCGGGGTCATCCGTAGCGTTCATATCCTTTTGTCCTTTTGTCTCTATCATTTTTACATAGATTCAGCCTACCCAGCCAGTTCAGAGGCTGGCGACACTCATCTTCGCCAGGCTGACATGGAACAGTTCGGAACATCAGAGATTGCACTTGAAAACATCTTCCAGGACCTCCGTCAACCCGTCAACCCACACAGCTCAGTGAGGTTGGGCAGAATCCTTTGGGTACACGGATGTCGTGCGAACGCTACAAAGCCATCTATGAGTTGTGCACCTGCCTTAGTGGAACAAACGTGCAAGGTTCAGCTGCTTTGCCAAGTGAATTGATATCAAACAAACATTGTGGAGATGGAGACGCCGGAAGACTCCTTTCTTGGGTAGTTCCTTTCTTCTGCAAAGAGCCGCGAACGAAAGCTTCTGAATCAGAGTGTCAGATGTTTTTGTGTGTCACGGGTGATGACTTTCGTAGCACATATACATACGTAATTGTACACATTCTTTTCCCGAATGCATAGCGAAGGGTTCTCGTTTAACTCTTGGGGGTCTGGGGGTAGAGCCTTGTTCGCGACCCGTTGTTTCTATGTTCGCAACCGTCCGCAACCGTCCGCAACCGTTCGCAACCGTTCGCAACCGTTCGCAACCGTTCGCAACCGTCCGCGGTAGAGCGCTAAGGCGCTGCCATTGGGGGAAGCTTTTGCAAGTGACTATTCATGGATGTGTCACGTGTCAGTTTGCGACGCTAGTCCATTGTGATTTGCGTGAAAATGACTTGTCGCGCAAGAAGCGTGATGCATTTCGCTGCACAGGCGCAGCGTTTTGTGAGATCCGCAGTTTGCAACGCAGTTCCATTGGGATTAGCGTTTGGAGAGTCGTGTTTTTGGGGTGTTGGATGTGGCCGTGCCATTGGGATTTGCGTTTCAGGGTGTGGCATCGAAGCTCTGTTTTCGTGACAAGTCTCAGCTGAAATGCCGATTTTGGTGGATGGGAGTGTGCTCAGAACGGGTCGAAATCATTCCAAACGTGTGGTGTGGTGCAAATTTTGTTGAAGCTCACATGAGATGACATTGTTACTTTTCGTGGCAGGGGCAGGACTTTGTGCGGGTTTTGAGGTGTGGAAGTGGGATTTTCGTGGCAGGCGCAGGGAATCGTGAGGTTGCGATGTGTGACGGAGGTGACATTTCGTGGCAGGCGCAGTACTTTGTGCGCGTTAGACGTGTGGACGCGGAAAGATTCGTGGCAGGCGCAGGGAATCGGGAGGTCCCACAAGAGTGTCCCGCAACAGTGTCCCACAAGAGTGTCCTACAAGAGTGTCCCACAAGAGCTTCCTACAACAGTGTCCCACAAGAGTGCCCCACAAGAGTGTCCCACAAGAGTGTCCTACAGGAGTATCCCACAAGAGTGCCCTACAAGAGTGTCCCACAAGAGTTTCCTACTAGAGTGCCCCACAAGAGTGTCCCACAAGAGTGTCCTACAAGAGTGTCATTTGGACATATGTAGCTTTTTGAACGTGTTTGCATTCGGGTTCGTGGGCTCCATCTTGTTTTTTTTGTCTCTCTCTCTCTCTCTCTGCAAGCCTGATCAGCTGCCCCGTCCTGGACTCCACTCGCACCCAGGCGCAGCTCATGATGTGATCATCGTCGAAGACGATGCGTTGCTCGGCGGCTGTTTGGGCTCAAAGCTAAAGGTTTCACTGACAGCGGAGGACGTCTCGCGCCACTTCCGGAGATATGGGCAGCCGCGGCATTATGTACATACAGTATCATACAGTATGATGTTTGGGGTGCCGGTGCATGATTTCTTCCATGTAGTTAGTTGAGGTCTTTGACCAAAGAGCATGATTTATGGAGGGGAGGGGCTCACTCGGTTTGACAGAAGAAGTCGAGCACTTTGCCAGGGATGAGGTGTTCAATGTGAGTTGAGCGCTCGCAGGTTTTGAATCAGTAGCAACCCAGGCCACGTGTTTCAGCTCTTGTTTGTTTACAGTAAACGCTGATGCATCGCCCTACTGTGATTTAAGGTACTACTATTTGCAGCACAACTCGCACGACGAAAAGGCAGATGAGGAGGTCTCTGCAGTGGCTGGACTGGAGCTTGGTCCAAGCTTTATCTCCATTGACCAGAAAGGTGGGGATGGCAAGCTTTCTATGGATTTCCGCAAATTTCATGCGCGTGATGATCCCTTTTGAAGACTGCATACAGAACGGAGCTGGAGCCACATGGAAAGGCATTCTCTTGTTTCTGGTGCAAATGGAGCGCAAGGTCTTTGCTCCAAGGAGCATTTTGTAGAGACAGGTGTCATGTAATTAATAATCATGTTCCTAGTAGCTTCTTGTTCCTAGTGGTAAGGCCAGGAGCCCCTAGTAGCGTCCTTGCTCCTAGTAGCGATGCCAGGAGCCCCTAGTAGCGTCCTTGCACCTGGTGTAACATGCTGCAGGGCTGGTGTTTCGCTTGGACACCGTCTCCAAGATGCTGTCGCCTGGGTTTCGCTTGGGTTGGGTCACCGGCCCCAAGCATTTCATCAAGGCCGAGGGTGAGTGTTGCCAAGCCACTGTGACAGTTGTGACATGTTCGTTGATGTTCAGTGCCTTTCAACGACAATTCTTTCAACCACATGTCAGACATGTCATGTTGATGATTCAAGTTACGTGTGACGACGAGTGCAGGCCTTTGAGCAGGTCTGTTACATCAGCTGCCAGATGGGTTGCTCAATGTCCATCGTTTGTTTGGGAAAGCTCCTGGCACATTGGAACACGGAAGGCTTGGAGGTCGGAACACACAGCATGCTGTTTCTGGACGGTGGATACATCAGATAAATTGCTGTTTCTGGACGGCTGAGCAGCACTCTGGGGATCTGCGTGGGGATGCACCGGCCTCCACTTCCAAACATGCTGCTGCAAACGACCAGTTTATACCCAGCCATGACGTTGCAGGCACAAATGAAGCGCGTTCAGATGTGTCTTCGACTGCGGTGCCGCTCTTTGCTTCGTGCCTGTGAGGCTGTTCAATTACGCGCTCCGTCAATGGATTTGCAGACCTTTAAAATAGAAGTTAATTGGAAATACAATGAACTACATCATTGGATTTGGACGGTTTCCTTGTGTTAAAACTGGAACGATGTTGGCATCTTGGAAGTGGTCCAGAGTCAGTGGTTCTGTGGCAGGCACACTTGAAAGGCCTTGCGCAGTGGTCTCGCCCGCAGGCAACACTGCTGTGAGTTGCAAAGTGGTCCTTTGCTAGTCATTGGCAAAGTGTTAGATGAGCAGCAAATTCCTAGAGACACATAGCACACTGGAATGCACTTAGCATCACGCTGTGAACACAGGCCCAAACCGAGGTGTCCAAAACGGCGCGCTTTACTTTTCATGGTAGCGGAGCTCTGTGGGTAGGCCCCACATCTCCAGATAACCTTTGGGGATGTCGAAAGCCCGGACAGACTAGTATCCGGGTCGCGCTCATGGCTGGTCTGGATGATGGCGCTGGTGGTCCAGCGACTGAGCCGGCATCCTCCATGGGTGCCGTGACTGGGGTGCAGGGGTTGGTGCAAGCGTTGCACGGACTGATCGAGGTGCAGCGGAATTCTGGGTTCATCAAGCACTTGAAGCCCCCTATGACTTTTTCCCCCGAGAATAGAGGTGAAGAGTTGAACAAGTGGATGGATTGGCGGTTTCAGTTTGAAACATTTGTTGGGGCAGTCGACCCAACCATGCTGGCTCACATGAAGAACGCTGAAAAGGAAGAGTCAGTGACCAATGACGGACTCCCTTCGGTGAGACCCCAATCTGAGAGGTTGTACTCATTGCTGACAGGCCTCATGAAGCAACGACCTTTGCGTTTGGTGCGAGGTGTAGCCGGACAGAACGGCTTGGAGGCCTGGCGGGTGCTCACCAAGGACTTGCAGCCTCAAACACGGCAGCGGTCACTAGCCCTCATCCAGTCCTTGAACAAGGTCCAGTTCGATGGAGGCAGAACAGTGACAGAGCAACTCCCGCAGTATGACCTGATGGTTAGAGAGTATGAGAGGAGCGCCAATGTGACCTACCCGGACGACTTGAAGATTGCCTCGGTGATAGCTGCCTTGCCCGCACACTCACCCGCCACACTCAGGCTTCACGTGCAGATGACGTTGCAGGATGACACGACTTTTGAAGACCTGAGGCAACGCGTCGAGATGTATGAGCAGTGAGCCAACGATGGATGAGTGATGGCACGATGCAGATGAACGTAAAGCCCCTCATGGACCAGGAGGACCGTGGTGGACCAATGGAGGTTGATGCTGTCTGGTCAAAAGGAGGCAAGAAGGGGGGAAAGAAAGGAAAGAAGGGCAAGGAGAAGGGAAAGAATTCAAAAGGAAAAGGCTCATGGTCCAAGGATGGAGGCAAGAAAGGCGGCAAAGGAGGAAAGGGGTCAGGAAAGCAGGATGGAAAGAAAGGCAAGACTGGAGTTGGGAATTGCCACAACTGCGGCAAACCAGGGCATTTTGCTCGTGAATGTTGGGCCCCCAAGAGAGTGAGCAAGGTAGAAGACCAGGAAGCTGCAGAGGTCAACAAGAATGGACAGGTCAGCCAATCAGGAAAAGATCAAGGCCAAAGTGGTGGAGCGTCAACTGGCCCGTCGTCCCACTCCACTTATCGAGCTGGAGTTAGGAGGGTGAGGCTAGTCACGCCTACAGGTTTGGCGACTATGGAGATCTTCGATTTGACCCAGGACGACTCGCCTGATGAGCCGGTCCAGTCAGAAGATGAGGAGATGGCATGGGCCATCAACATGGTGATGGAAGTGCAGAACAATGCACTTGAGGAGGAAGAGGTCTTCTACGACTGCCACAGTGGAGATGAGGATGAGCCGCCAAGTACTTCATCGTTGGAGGAGACAGGGAGCCACGATGCACGAGCCCAATGTGAGGACACGGAGTTGGACATGTTCAGAGTGTGCATGGTGAAAAGTGTGGCGCCTACAGTCATTATGACCCTCGACTCTGGAGCAGATGTTTCTGTTGCACCTGAGGAGTACTACCAGATGGGTCAACCAGGACAGCAACGGTCAGTTCAGATGGTCGATGCACAAGGAGAGGCCATCAAAAGTGCTGGGAACCGCAGGTTGAGACTTCAGGCCCACACTCGAAGTGGAGAAATGGTGGAATTCGTGGAGCAGTTTGCATTGGGAGTCGGAGTGACACATCCATTGCTAAGCTTTGGTCGACTCCTGAGGCAAGGATGGGTGCTGTCGCGTGATCACCAAGGTCTATGTTTGGAGCACCCTGAGAAGAAGATGCAGATCCCGGCCAGGCTCGAAAGGAACTCTCTGGTCATGGATGTGAAGGTCTGTGCAATTCGAGCTGAAGAAGATGTGGACGAAGAGCAGAAGAAGGAGATTGAGGCCATGGCAGCAAACGACAGAGCCCAAGCCATGAACGAAGGTGAAGAAAGAAAGGAGGAGAAGAAGATCCCCGAGGAGGCGGAAGCAGATCGAGGAGTGAAGAGAAGTGCTGAGGAGCAGATAGAGTTGGAGAGAGTAGCCAAGGAGGAAGACGAGACCTTGGCAGTGATGAAGGAGCTCTCCGAGCAGGTGGTGACGGATGATGATGTTCAAGTGGAAGAGAACCCCATGAAGAAGTCAAGACTAAAGGAGAATGAAGACATCCCACAACGTTCACCTGGCTACACCACTGAAGAGTCAGGAGGCGAGATCATGGTTGAAGGAAGCAGCAGTGAGGATGGAAGAGTGCAGGAGAAGATGGCTCGATGGGAGAAGTGGCGACTGAAGAAGATTGAAGTCAAGAGCGAGCCAATGGAGTTGACAGATAGCCCAATGGAGGAACTGACGGAGGCCGGACAACACGTGTTCCCTGTTCGAGGAGAAGGGCATTCATTGCAGGGCTTCATTTCAAGAGAGGTAGGCCTATTGGAGAAGGTGCCGGGATGGCATGCTTTGCCAAATGGGATAGTGGTGCACTCGAGTCCACAAGCCACCCACTTCCTTGACCCAAGCATGTCCTTTGGTCCTGAATGGTGTGGACGCATGACACTCGTGAAGAAGAAGGACAATTCAGGTGCTTGGGAGCAGATCGAAAGCCTAGCGGCATATAGGGACACACCATTGCCTTTCCGAGCCCTACCGGCAGGTCCAAGGTCAGCTTTGACGTTTGTGGCCCCAGGACTGATTCGGGACTACTTCGTGTTGAACTCAGAGGTCCCAGTGAGCCAGTATCCACTATTGAGTGGAGAGCCATCATCCTGGCCCGATGATGAAAGGGATGAAGAAGGAGGAGAATTTCCTATGCTGGCAGCAGGCAGTGGAGGACGGGCAGAGATCCTGGAAGATGTGGAGTTCGTGGATCCTGACGAGCTGAGAGTGCAGATCGATGAAACATGGTTTGACAAGGAGACAAAGTTGAAAGATCTTCAGGAGATCTGCAAGCAGCTCGGATTGGCCACATCAGGGTCCAAGACTAAAGTCCTGAGGAGGTTGCAGCGATTTAAGCATCAACAGGAGGAGAAGATGGCATATGAAGTTGCACAAAGACTGTTCGCTGAAAGCAGAAGAGAAGCCATCCCTCTGAAGACACCAAAGTTGCCCTCTCGACATGAACAAGAATTGCGCCAGTTGACACATCTCCCATTTCAGCCGTGGTGTCAGCAATGCGTGGCAACAAGATCGAAAGAGGACCCACGAATGAAGGAAGATCAAAGTGACAGGAAAGACAGAGGCCGACCGGTGATTAGTTTTGACTGTGGGTTCACTTACACGGCCGATGCGCCAGAAGAGAAGCAATGGGGCACTGCCTTGTACGTGGCTGAATCAGAGTCCAAAGCCACGTTGTGCATTCCCGTACAGGCAAAAGGAAGTGCATCTTTGAAGCAGGTGACGGAGGAGCTGACAAGATTCAGTATGCAGGTTTGCAATACTCAACCCATCATCTTCCAGTCGGATGGAGAGAGAGCCACTCGGCAGGTGCTCAGAGCAATTCAACACGCCCGTGCATCTCTTGGTCTCACCGCAGAGGTGAGGACGACTTCAAGAGATCAGCATGCATCAAACAGTCAGGCTGAGAGAGCAGTCCAGTCTGTCCGCAAGCTAGCCAACACGTTGAGGCAATATGCAGAGGAGAAGAGTGGCGTGAAGATCACTGGAGACATGCATTGTTATCCATGGAGCTTCAGGCATGCAGCCTGGTTGATGCTTCGATATCGAGTGATCAATGGAGCCACGTCCTGTGAGATGCTCACAGATCGTCAATATGTTGGCAGGGTGGCACTATGGGGTGAGACCGTGCTCTTCAAGGATGTCACCTCCTTCAAGCACAAAGGGGAACCTGTTTATCGACGAGGTGTCTGGGTTGGCAAGAGTTCATGGAGCGATAGCCACATATGCCTGACAAGGTCTGGAGCAGTAGAGGCCCGTTCCATCAGAAGACTTCCAGATCAGTTTGATGGCCAGATGCTGATCCATTGCCGTGGACTCCCGTGGCAATACTCGGTCCAAGGCATTCTCATGAAGACCAAGTTCGCGGCAAGACAACGCTTGGCTGAGGCAGCTGAAGAAGCCACAGGTGAAGAGCAAGTGGAGAAGGAAGCAAAGATGGTTGGAGAGGAGGTGGCCATGAGAATGTACGGACATGGTCCTATCACACCAGGTCCTGCTCCAGAAGGCTATCCAAAGACACCGGCCAGAACGCCTGCAGCTCCAACACCAGCAAGCAAGACACCGGCACTACGAACACCAGTGGTTATGCCTATGCCTGCGACACCGGCGCGTTCAGTGCCCAAGACTCCAGCACCAGAGCCGCCAAGAGAAGCCATGAGTTCATCCTCAGGTCCAAAGGAGGCACATCAGAAGGTTCAAGCCGAGGAGATAGAGGTCCCAAAGCGAAAGATGGCAAGGTTGCCAATCCCAGAAGCAATGCGAGGTGAACCTGCAAGAAACTTCATGCCAGAAGCATTGGATTCTGAAACAAGCCCAAAGAAGCAGAGGTTGGAGGAGATTGTGGGCAATCTGGCACCAGTCACCCCGCCATTGGGCACGAAAAGAGAGTACGCCTTACCCTGGGATGACGAGGATGTTGAAAAGAGGAGGATGAGTCCGAAACGAAGAGTGAACAGCATCCAAGAAGATTTTCCAGGTGGAGACGAGCTATCTTGCAAGAGGAGCTCAACCAGATCAGTGAAGATGAAGGCGAGGAGAAAGGAATTGGCAAGCCACCTGAAGTCGATGAGGAAGAGCTAGCAATGCTGGATGCTGAAGCATGCAGGCATGAAGAAGAAAGGCTGGAAAAGATGGGCGTCCTCGAAAAGCTGAAGGAGAATGAACAAGCAGAAGAAGGATCCTATGTGCTGACATCAAAGATGGTCATCACCTGGAAGCACAGGGACGAGAAAGGAGGCTGGTTCAGGAGAGCAAGGTTGGTTGGAAGGCAGTTTAAGTGGTCAGTCTTTACTGAAGATGCCTTCGCACCAACATCTGCATCAGTGATCGTGAGGATGCTCCTTCGACGGCAGATGAAGAGTGGACTGGCACTTTACACTCTTGACGTGAAAGATGCATTCCTGCTGATGGACCAGCCAGAAGACGAAAAAGCGCTGGTGGTGACTGCAAATGGTACATGCCGGCTGAAGCGAAATCTACCTGGACAACGAAATGCTGCCGCCCAATGGTTCAAGGGTTTCTGCAAGGTTGCAACAGAGTTTGGATTGGTGCAAGACACGATGCAGCCTACCATGATGAAGAAGCCAGAAGCACCTAAAGGCAGTGAGACAGGTGGAAAGCTATACCTCACAATCCATGTCGATGATTTACTTCTGGTTGGCGATGAGCTGGAAGTGGAGAGTTTCATCAGCTATATGGGAATCAAAGGCTGGAAGACAGAGAAGCGAGGTCCACTCTACATGGGGAGCTTCAGTTACTTGAAGCGAGAGATGGAGTTGATTGAGAAGGGCATCACCATCAGGCCAGACAAGCAACACATCAAGGAACTGGCCAAACTCACCAATGTGGAGCACCGGAAGCATCGAACGACCCCTGGTGATGGAACCTTTCAATCGACTGAGCAAAGATGATGAGCCCATGAAGTATGAGGACATCACCAAGTATCGAAGTTGTGTGGGAAAGCTGCTCTACATCTCCCCTGATCGTCCTGACGTCCAGTATGTTGCCCAGGGCTTAGCTGGTTTCATGCAACAGCCAACAAAGAAGAGCTGGCAAGCCATGCAACACGTGAGTTCGTATCTCCTGGGGACTATGGACGAAGGACTGTTGTTCGAGCACGGTCCCGAGCACGGACCCAGAGGAAGAAGCACGCTAAATGATGATGACAACATCTATGAATGGGATCTCAATGAAGAGAAGAAGAGCATGCTGGAGGTGGTGTGTGACGCCGACTACGCAGGCCAGCGAGACACAAGGAAGAGTGTCAGTTCAGTCCAGATCTACCTGGATGGGTGCTTGCTGGAGAGCTATGTGAGAAGTCAAAGAGCCATTGCACTCTCGTCAGGAGAAAGCGAGTATGTGGCCATGGTCGGTGGATGCAGTGAAGGACTCTTTCTGAAGCACTGCTGGAAGTTCCTGACCAACGAAGACCTGGGCATGATTTGCCGGAGTGATTCATCAGCGGCTCGGGCTCTTGCAGGTCGAGTTGGAGTGGGGCGTACACGCCACATTGCAGCTGGTTTGTTGTGGCTTCAACAGAAAGTGGTTGCAAAGGAGTTGAGGATTACAGGCCGTCAACACCAGCGACATTGGAACCAAGATTTTGAGCAGGGCAAGAATGAGTGGCCTGAAATTCCTGATCAAGATGGTCGACATGGATGACGAAAAGATTGGGAAGCAGCAATATGAAGAGATAAAGGCCAAGGAGCAGCTGAAGAAGAATACAGGAAAGATGGCAAAGATGATGGGTGCAAATGCTAAGGTGGCCCTGGTGATCGCTTTGTCATTGCTACAAGGAGGCCAAGGAGCGGAAGTCGAGCGCCCAGAAGAAGGTGAAGATGGAAGTGATGAGGCTTGGTGGATTCGGCCACTGATCACCATGATCTGTTTGGCAAGCATTGGGGCCTTGAGCCTGGCACGAATGGCCATTGGGGCCATGAGTTCGTCTTCCATGAAGAGCCCATCGAGGAGAATGAGAATGAAGGAGCTGTGAATGTGGTCGCAAGACCGCTTGTGAGAAATGAGGCAAACACAGATGAGGTTCAAAGGGCACACCTTTGGCAAAATGAAGATGAAGAAAAAGTCAACATGCAGTGGCAAATCGTTCGTTTGGAAGTAGCCATTGCTGAGCATGAGGAGAAGCTGACAGATGCCCGACGAGATCGAGATCTACAAGCAAGAGAAGTGGTGCGCATGTACAACATGTGCTCTGAGCTGCGCTTCGAGCTGGAGAATGTGAAGGAAGAAAGAGATGAAGCCAAAAGAAAGGCCATCAGGTTGGCCGGAACAGATGATGAGAAAGCAATGGAGATGGAGAGAATGGCAGAAGACACTGCCAAGGCTTGGGAAGTGGCCGAGCTGTGGAAGAAGAGATCAAAAGAAACCGAGAACGAAGCAAAGCAGCAGATGACTGAGTTGCTGCAGAACACACGTTTCACCCTAGAAAGACAACACTGGCACATGGGAAGGACAAGTACGTGCTACCATCATGAAGGATGTGGGCGCCTGGCCAACAGCGCCACAGTACGAACCATGAAGCCATGCACACATTGCATTCCAGATGCTATAAGGGCGGTGTTAGATGAGCAGCAAATTCCTAGAGACACATAGCACACTGGAATGCACTTAGCATCACGCTGTGAACACAGGCCCAAACCGAGGTGTCCAAAACGGCGCGCTTTACTTTTCACAAAGAGATCATGCCAGAAATGCTACAAGACTTGGAAAGGGTTACAACAAAACACAACAAGCTCACGCTCTCATATTTTGCTGGTCAGGCGGGGATGTTCCTGTGGCTGCGAATGCTGCGGCCTCGAAGGTTTACTTTGGAGGAGCTGTTGGAAAGCAGGGAGCCTCAGCGGGAGAATTTTGCTCAGCGACACAAAGGGTACCCTCAACATGAGGCCATGCGTGTACACATGCAAAACACAAGACTCTTGCTGGGCAGGGCAGTTTTGAACGGCAGCGTTGTCTGGGGTTATTGAGACATCAACGGCGCACAATGCTGTTTGACCCTGCTGCATCACATTCATTGGGGGTTTGGTGATGCGTAGAAACAAGTGCCTTACTAGTAGTAACAAGTGCCTTACTAGTAGTAACAAAAAAGTGTTGTGAGGAATAGGACGAAATGTCAAATGACGCGAGCGAGCGAGCGTGCGTGCGTGGGTGGGTGGGTGGTTAGCAAAGAGCATCATGTTCCAATCATTTCTAATCTCTCTGGGACACATGTTTGTACTTTCCGGATCTTTGCAGCGTTTTTTACTCCCATCAGCAAGAAAGGGTGTACTTTGGCAGCTCTGTACAGCTGGCGTCCCTAGTTCTCCACCCCGTGTCTCTTCAGGCATGGCTCGGCACAAGATTGTTCCAATGCCTGGGGGCTTTTGCTCCCCAGTGCGAACAGGCAAGCTGGGATGCCTCGGGGAACGGCTCGTGCCTTTCTTTGGACAGTCTGATGAGTTCCGCCTTGCGAAGTGAATCTGGCGGCCCAAGGCTGCGCACGATTGATTCTCGAGTTGCGAAACTGCCAAGCCATTGAAATTGGACTTGGGGGGTAATTGGGATGTATATAATATAAGTGGGGTAAGTGGGATGTAAGTGGAGATGCATGCAGCTTTTCCCTAGTTCACTAGCTTGTACCCTCAATCGCCCTGAGGCGAAGCTTTACCCTACTTTCGCTTGTCCTACGTCATTTCGCCTGAGAAATATGACATGGGGCTCCAGCGGTTTCGACAGGCCTGAATCATAGGGAGAAGCATGCGACTCATCAATACTTATCTTAGATTCGACAGATCGAGGCATTCCCTTCAGTTTCCTTATTCGAGGAGATATTGAAATGATATTGAATTGGATTGCAACGTGGAAGTAAGGCCATACTAAAGTTAGTGCCTCACTTGTCTAGTGGCTTTCAAGACGGGGTTGTACAACTCCTTTTGCAAGCTCAAGAGAGATGCTGCACCATTTTTTCTCAGTTCAACACATACTTGATCAAGATTATTCCTGAATTTTCTTGCACGTTGGTTGGTCATGTTGGTCTCTTCCTGAGCACTTCATGTCTGGATGTTTCACGTGACGCGTCTCGCGTGTGACACGATCGATTGCTGGATCATGACAGGTCCTTCTTGACCTGAGCTTGCCCCAGACGGATGGATACAGTCACTCGGTCCAAAGTCAACACGTGGGTCGAGGACTGAAAATCCATATATTATTGGATGTGAAAGGTGAATTTGGGGAGTCCGGGAGTGCTTGAGTGCAGACAGTGCTCCGAGGCAGAGACAAGACATAGTCCTACATCTCCTGCTCAGGGAACAAAAAGCACTTGTGCTGGGAGAGAGACTTGCAAATTGCTGGGTTATGATGAAACAAAGATAGTAACAAGAAGCTACTAGGAGCAAAGGGCATCGCTACTAGGTGCAAGAACGTTACTGGGGGCTCCTGGCCTTACTACTAGTAGCAAGAACGCTGACATTTTGCTTGATTTTGACTCTGAAGTCCTGAAGGGCATAAGCCATTCCCGGTGAAGCATGCCCGTTGCATGTGCTCGTGTTACCCAAGGGCGCAGGAGAAGGGGGCTGCCGTGCTAGCCTTGGTTGTCGTGGGTAAAGTGCAGCAAGCATGAAACTCAGAACAAATGAGTCCTGCAAAGTCTGAGTCTTGTTTACCTAAAGAGGGGAGGTGGTAAGGATTGATTTCACAACAGACAAAGTTGAAGGCACGTGAATTGACATTCATTTCAATACCTTCCGGAAGGGGGAAAGGGATGCCTTCTCAACCTGCAAAATGAGGAAGGTAGGTGTTGCATAATACTTCTTTGAGGACTGCAGAGAGATAAGGTCTCCACGAATCACTTGTAATAGTGAAACCGTGACTCCTCACCTTGTCTCATCAGACCCAATCTCAGTGGAGTATAGCGGAGTAGAATCATATGTAGCTCTCTTCCAATGCAATTTCCTCTCACCTCGCACCTCCTGACCACAATCCTTTGCTCCATTTGTTTCATCTCACCACTCTTTGGTTCTGACTTGGATTTTGGATGTGTTTCTTTTCACAACACTTTGTATCCATGAAGCTGCTTTAGTTATGTCTATGTGCCTTGGCCTCTCTGCTTCACTCACCCATACTGACCCATACCGTACCCGTATCTGTTGGGTTGGCTTCCATCATCTTTCATCCATCCTGACACGGGTGTGTCCAAGGACACTCCTCTCACACGACTGGTAGGACGACCGTCGCCAGGCCTGGGAGGACACCCAGATGCTGAGCATGCAGGCGATTTTATCGGCTGGGAAGGGGAGGAAGCGAAGTGGCCTGCGCTTCACATAATCGGCACCATTTAGTTGAGCTAAGATAGCGAAGCGAGTGGTGGCCTTCGAGGTCTGAGTTGAGTCAAGCTCCATGAGGTTAAGTGTGGCGCCCTGTTGCTGATTCGTAGACACAACAGAATATATAGTGAGTCATACATCATATCGCCATCAAGATCATGACAGAAGTTGTTGTGCCAGGTGGTTGTTCAGGTGCAAGGAGTGCTGGAAAGGTGCGCCAGATGGTTTCGCCTGCTTGTATGCTTATGCTTGATGTCATTTGTGTTTTTGCTTCATGTCTTTTGCCAGCCAACGGTTTTGCAGCTCTTTACGGCTTGTGCCTGCACCAGCCATTTCCAGCTCTTTACTTATTGAACAGGTTCCGTTGGTTCACCAGCGGAGGAAGCGGCAGCGTGAAACAGATGACTGTTAGGAGATCAGGTGAAAGCTGCCTGAAGCAATCAGTCTAGCAACGACTACGCTCCCAGCAGAATAGCTACCACTTACTGTAGTTGAAGTTCGATCCGTTGGTACAGTGGTCCAGAAGGTTGTTGGATCGTGTTTGTGACGCTCTGCACCATGCCTGGACTCGACCGTTGGAACGAGGCGTCCTCGGACTCGGGACTTGAAGAAGTTTGCTTGAAGCTTGAGATCGGTTGAGACAAGAAATCCCACCATGCAAGAAGACCTGTGTGAACTGGTGAATCATCACAACCCCAAGGTTCTGAGACACGCCTGACACGGCCAAAAACAGAACTCCACGGACTCCACGGTTGGAACCTGTGTGGAAAGTGGAAACGGTCACCATGGTGCTTGAGAACTTGAGACCGGTTCAGGTGAGCGACAACACTCTGGTGCTCCACGGTGCCGGAGCACGAAAGGTGCCAACGGAGCAGTCGGGTTTTTCAGGGCATCCGAGGGCCATGAGGTGTCGAAGCTTTTGGGAAGTCTTGAACAGGGAAAAGCCAGGACCAGGTTGCTGAAGCAGGACATTTTTGATTTCGACGCGCACACTGTGCAAAGGACGATTCTGCGGAGTGTCTTCGCACATTTGCTAGTAGCAAGAAGCTACTAGGTGGAGGCCATCGCTACTAGTAACAAGAAGCTACCAGTAGCTTTATAATATAGTATTGCACAAGTGCACAGGCCAGTACCTTCCTGCAGAATGGCGATCCAGCCGCACTGGGGCCACGTGCTATGCGGGTGCGCTCGGAAGGTTGGCCGGATCGGGGTCGGACAAACGGGAGCTGACGGAAGTGGCCAGGTTTGTTGGTGGTTTTGTCGTATTTTGCATTGAAAGAGGACAAATTTGGTGGGATCATGCTGCAAACGAAATCATCCTGAAGAACCGGGTTTCCGTTCCTTTTCACTAAGTGATGCATTCTAGATTCAAGAATCCAATTGAAGATATAATAGTCCATTGCTGTGCACAGCCTGTTTGGCAGGCTTTGCTGCTTGGTTTCCAAACGCGGAGGAGACACGAGTCAGACCACCGGAGGCCCGGACTATGGGCAAACATTAACAAAGTTTATGGCAAAGCTCTCTGAGGTGTCCTGTGGCCAGCTGGCTATTTTCTTGCCCAACAGCAGAGTGTTTTTAGATAGGAAAAAGGTTTGGCAGCGGTGTTTTCGCCACGGACCGCCAGATACGGACTGAAGAACCGAACATAGAGGACTATCGAGCATCAATTTTCTTGGATTTCTGTTGTCGTCCGCTGTGATGGACTGGCGATCGCCGTGGTGATCACGCTTCAATCAGGGCCAAGAGGCTATGGAGATCCAAGAAGCAGAGAAAGAAGAGGCCAGTTTTCCCATATTGCGGAACCATTCTTGGGGGGCTTAGGTAGAAGATAGATGGAGATATATAGAGACCACTGCGGAGGCAGCAGAAAGTCCTCAGCTTCTCGAGTTTTGCGGAAACCTTTCAATTCCCCGTAAAGGCATCAAACGGAAGTTCAGGTAGAGCCATGTTCTGGACTGTTCAGCAGGAATGTCGTTTCGGATGGGAAAACAGCACACGACATCGAATCACAGGATCGGCTAGGCCCTAGGCAGGTTTCCGCGTTGAGAGACATGGCATAGTTTTTGCGAGGAAACAGCCGAGGACCCTTTGTCACAGGCATCTCGGCAGTTCAGTCCCTGAATCCTGAAGTTTGAGAGCGTCTTCTTACAACATGAATTTGTCAGGTATTATGGTCCAAGCTGAAGCTTTGATTCTCATTCATTCTTCTGGAGGAATTGTCAACAGATGATGAAACACATGATCACAACATGAGGCTAACTCCTAAGCATATTTGCTGCAAACTGTACATATACATTGGGTCTGTCCTGTGACCTGCAACAGTCAGCAACCAATTATCACTATTTTAAAGAAAGGCCTTTAGTAACCATCATCATCCACTGTTACAGGTAATAAGATAGACCCAACATATATATATATACACATACAGATAAACATGTATATAGTTATATATTGTGTATATATATATATATATAGAATGCATATTCTGGTTGCAGCATTCGCGCGGAAGCTCAGGCCTTGCAAGATGCTGGAGACTCTGCTGCGAGCAGCGCTTCGAACCAGTTGCACGATTTGAAGGTGCTGCGCTCCGCTTTGCACCGATTCGATGGAATCCTTCTGGCGGTACTTTTCCATTGTTCGATCTCCAGGCTGCCTTCTATTTTCTATTATATACCCGTGCAGGTTTCCTAAGCGGGTCATGGTAGGTAATAAGACATTTTATACCTTGGTCAAAACATATGCGTTTGTTTTTGTTTTTTCAACTGTGTTTTGCCTTTATGTCTATGGGGTTTTCAGAAAACTTCTTCCAGCCTCCATTACCGGTTGGAAACGGCTCTCATCACTGTAGAATGCGACATACCAGGAGTCAATCCGAGTTTCTGCTGGACGAACCTTGTCCGTCCTTTGTAGCTTCTCTCTTCTCTCCTCGTTTCTCTTGTTGTCTCGCCACCTAGCTGACTAGTCCTTTCTCCAACATTCGTCCAATGGAAGATGGAAGCTCCTTGCTCTTGTCGGCAGCGAGACACAGGTTCATCTAAAACCTTCTCCCATGCTACATCATCTGGAAGCTCCTGTGTGGTGGGTCTTGGAACACACGTTGTTTATCATTGTTTATCGTTGTTCGGGGTCCAGTGCCAGAGATATTGTCCATGGAATCTCCACGGGGCCTTTCACCCTTTCAACATGACCTCAGTCTGATGCTTTCTGAACGTGCTCTGGTGCTGCCCCAAACAATCGTCCCCCTTTGTACAACCAGATGACACTTCCCGGACGTAGTTCCCCATGAGGTGAGGCGGCCTGTGCTAGTCGTGTCAAACGTTGCCAGGACAAAGCAAGCCATTCGTTGGAAGCGGGCAAGGATGAAGGTGCCGGCAAGGCTGTAGCAGATGCTCTCAAGGACAGGTGACTTGGCTTTCATGTAGTTTGACGTAGTTTAACAGTTTCACAATAGACTTAAGTGAATGACAGTCAATGGTTGTGTCTCCTCAAATCGAGTTAAACTCAGGTTTTGTCCCGGCATTGAATCACTTATGGACTGTATTGAAGGGTCAGCTTGTCGTGCCGCTGTGCCCGTAATTGGAGGATGAGGACACTGGAGATCCCCCAGATGTCACCTGACAGGGAAGAGAGGGGGTGAAGAGATGGGAAGAAGGGCACAAGTTTTTGAGAAACAATCCACCTGAAGTGTTCCTCTTCAGTTCATTATGGTTCATTCAAATGTCAGACAACTTTCTCAGCCTGCTGGACATCAAGTTTGCAACTTGCCCGAAAAGTTTATATGTTTGTTTAATGTCGTCTAATCTTTTTTGCCAGTTTCGGGTTCGTGTTCTCTTCCGGGGGTTTTGAGGGCACCAAGCCACTGTGTTAGGGCAAAAACGAAATCGCTGTGCCCACCTTGGGACGCATTGTGGAGCCATGTGGAGAAAGCCATTCCCGTCGCCGTACCACCATTCCAGCGGCCGCTTTCAGGGGGCCAAACAGCACGACCGGTGGCGTTCTTTTCTTGTGTCTAAAGCACCAGGTTGCGACTGCGCCAACCAAAGCGCTGCACCGTGCCTTTCCCTTGCGTCAGCATTTAAAGGGACACAGTGACACCAAACCTAGGTGGACCATGAGCATGATGAGCCCAAGCCATCGCTGATGGAGAACTTGTGGTGACTGGGCACATCCAGGCAACAGCTTTTCCAGGAAGTCTCTCCACTTTTGTTTTTTGACCTCTTTTTGTAGGTGTCAGGCCAACCGCTGACCCCAGGTGTGAAGCACATACACAAACCAGAAAAAGCTCAACCGATCATTGACCGAAGGAGCACGCATCGTTGAGAAATACCGCTGGTTTTGGAGCTTCCTCGCTTGTGGATGCCTCATTTGCTGCACCTTACATACCCCTTGGTCTTTCAACCGGACCGGATTTCACACATGATGCAAATACTCAGAAGAGCAACACTGTAGAACACTGATCAGCATGCAGCCTTCGGCCGAGTGGGAAGTTGAGTTGCTGTACACCTCAGCCTCAAGGAGCGGTTTAAGACCAACCATGAGACTCAAATTTCAGGCACCGGTTTGAAACGTGTCAGACATTTATTCGACACCACCATGACACTAAACGGGCAACTGTACACAAATCGTTCAGGCTCTTTTTACTACGGTTTTACTATAGATGTGTCTTTTCTCTATTTGGGCCAAATGAAGGTATTACCGCATGTACTTTCTCTCCATTCCGGCACTGGCAGTTGCTCTTTCAATCATTGGAACGGCTGCTGAGCTGCCTTTGGCAATTTCAAGACACTGTGGAGTGGTGTGAGCTCATTTTAAGAACAACGGTTTTCACAAGACTTCACGCGCATTGGTCGACTTCTTGATACTTCTTGCCAAAGCCGGGTGCGATGCAGTTTGATTGACTTATCTACTGTAGCATTGGATGATATTGGCTTGCAAGAACTCAACACCCAGCTCGAACGCAATGCTATGCAACGACCTGCTATTCTTTTTTATACTTTTTCATTTTAGAGTCTTAGCGTGTTTATAGTCGAAGCCTGGAATGAACATTGGAGTCCAAGAAGATGACTTATATGAACAGAGGCCAGGGTTCCACTTCAAGGATCATCGACAAAATCAATCTGCGACTTAGATATTTGTAGCCAATACTAGAGTATGCGACTTAGATATTGGCCAATAATACCTACACATCTGGCTCCTGGCATCGCTACGAACGGAGCGATCGGACGCTACACATGCGACCTGTTGTGACTCCTGTTGGACCCATCGGCTCAGGCCTTGGCTCCCAAAGGGCGACCAGATCCCAAGGAGGAGAGAGACGAGCTGGAGGAGACTTATGTGTCTTGGACGTCAGTCTTTCCGCCACAAGAAGTCTTTGACTGGCCAATTCTCATTTAGTTTCTATATTTCTTCATGAACAGAATGGGCAACTCGTGGTTGACTTCGCATGGCATGTTGGGAAGCCACATCGCCAGACATGGATGTATTTCACCTTTCTTCATGGTCTTTTGGGCATTTGGACCCCTTGACAAGGGTGATGAATTTGGAGCAAATTTCGTGCGTTTGAGATTCGTGGAAAGGGAGCTCGATGAGTTTGGTGAGAGCGAAAAGACCCCAGTGACGGGAAAATAGAGCTGAAGAGATGCCATCAGAAGCATCAACATTGGGAGAATTGAAAGATGTATAACAGTATAACAATAATTAATGAGTTTCAATAATGTATATCTAGAGCGGTAAAGATGGTAAAGAGCTCGTTGGAGTCGTATAGTTGTCGTTTTTGGACCCGAGGACCCGCGAGACTCGTTTTGTGAATCTCTCCCTCCCTCTCTCTCTCTATAATATACAGTATACTGTGTATATATACTCTCTTCTTTTCGTTCTTTCCCTCCACTTTTTTCTTTGTTGTGGACCTTAGCAAAAATAATTGTCTTTCATCATTTATTTTTGCTTGCGGTCAGCCTGGTCACATCTGGGCCCCTTCTTGGATCTGGGGCCCCCTGCTCTTGGCCTGGCGGTTGACCGTGTATATATATGTTCTATTTTGTGGTGGTTTAGGAGTTTCTTTTTGCTAGCACAGGCAATTTTTTGGCCCTTGCTTGCAGTCATGTGTTGGTCTTTTTCGGGCTCTGAATGCTTCGCCCTCCTGCTCAGGGCCATGATCCGCGGGCTCCAGTCGCAAAGGGATCTGGGAAGGGGGCGCAGGAAGCATGTGCTGTGTGAGAAAACGGCAAGAATATGATGTTAGTTAGGACATTGCAAAATTCAGTCATTACTTATTTTCTTGACGCACAGCTGGAACCTTGACAAGTCAGGAGGAGGAGGATGAATAGGAGGCAAGCTGAAGTTGGGTGAGCTATGCTGAACTAGTTGTTCACGTGAGGGCAAAGATCCCTTCTCCCAAAAGGCTCTCAATATGGGGGCTGCATTTGTCAGGATGTGCTATCGCCGTCTGCTGGAAAAAGGACGTGTTGCGCGAAGTCAAAATTTGCTGTTTGCGCACTGAACTTGCAGGTTTCAGATGGCTATTGCACAACAGATTCAGCAACTGGCCATGCAGCAGCAGTATCATCAGGCAACAGCCAGGGACCGATAGATGGAGACAGAGCCATCAAGGGACGACGTACGGTTTGTTTTGCCCTGTGTTCATTTATTGATCAATTTGCATGTAGGGATGTGAGCAGATTGGGAGTGGCGTTTGACAAAGTCGCGACCAGCTCTAGGATGTATATAGCCTCAGACAGTCTTTTGTAGAAGTGGTGCCCCCCCAACAGTTTAGACAAAGCTCACATCTTCGCAGAAGCCTTGCAACTCAGTTTTGCGTGTCAATGTTAGGGGCGGATGTTTATGTCTAGTGGTCTAGAAAGGTTTAGGACGGGACTTGGGTTTGACTTCCTAGTGACTTCTTGGAAGCAGCGTTTATATTGGGAACAAATCATAACATGCCGGGCATCATGTAGCTGAAAGTGAGAGGTAAAATATGGTGAAGCCGAGCATAGTAAACATAGTAAAGCTTTATAAAATATTATGAAACTGTACAACCCCGCACATATTCTGCTTGAGTGTCCCGCACTGTCACCAGGGTAGTGTTAGACGACGGTCACAGACAATAAACGACGGTCTTCCACTCGACATCTCCCTGTTTCACTCATCAATTCCGCTCTTCCACTCTGTCAGTTGCAGGAGCTGAGGCGGATTGGAGTGTGATCCCCTGACAGCAATATAAACACGCGCACACACACACACAACTGTTTGATCATCACGGTAGGAGTTTCTGATGCACCTCGTCTGATGATACACCAGCTAATTACAGGTTTTGATCGATTGTTCATCGTGTTGATCACCTCATAGGCAAACAGTCACAAAGCCTTTTCTGACACTTGCCCACAAGCCCACACATTTGACATATCAAAGCTCCTACTGCGCGACTGACATACGTATGTGTATTCACGAGCGATCAAGCTTCCTGTGTCTCTGTGCCTCTCTGTCTCTCTCTCTCTCTCTTCTCAGTCTTCCCCTTGCACTTGTAGAGATATCAGCACAACAGAGAGTATTATAATGCTTCAAAGATGTAAGACTTTGATGGTGTTCCTCCTGTTCGCCAACTTGACGCACTGGCGCGCCGCTCGCTCTTGCCAGGGAATGCAGCAGCAGCTCCTTCAACAGGCGCCAAGAGACCGAGAACATTTTTTTTTTCGTCATCGTCATAGCCATAGCTGGGAAGCTCTTTGGAAAGGGGTATTCTGCATCCAAGACCTGGCCCTAACCTTGCCAGGCACAAAACTGTCCTTGGCCGTGTTTTCTTCATAATTTTTTACGGTGTGACTGCACCCACCGATCTGAAGGTTCCCGTTGAAGGTTCCAGACAAGAGTTTCAACAAAGGTTTGGATAAACACCTGAAGGTTCTAGGAGGTTCCAGCAGAATTTCAGACAGATCTGAAAGGTTTCAAATGTCACCATCGTATCCAAACACCAAAGAGCGTAATATAATGCACAGCCCACATGTGGAACTGGCGAACTGCGATTGGTCCAACGCATTCTATTTTTCCACATGGATCACATGTTTCAATCTTGGCGGAACTGCGATGGGATCCTTTAATGCGAGTCAGGCGGCTGCCCATTGGAAGATTCCTGTGCGTAGTCTTAGACTTTGGACGTCTTCCAATCCCAGGTTCCCCAACAGTACACTCCCCGTGCTGGAAGATTATGTTCCTGTACCCATTCACTGCGCGAGTTGCGCTCCCTTTTGGGATCTCAATGTCAAAGAATGTGGAGGAGATATGTGTTGAGCCCCGCCCAACAAGTGACCAAGCACAGAGCGCCCTTCATCTTAGCTCACCGAAATTCTTCAGCTCTTCAGCGAAATGCTCCGTGAATGGATCACCAACAATGTAGCTCATGGACGCATAATGTATATAGCTCAGTGACTCATTGATTCGGCTGATTGCTCACAAACTCAATGCCTTCTGCACATCAGTTTGTTCACAGCATCATGTCCACAAGGTGATGGCTAAAGGTTCCGCCTTCGCCGTAGAATCAGGGACAGAACTGCCCTTGCACAAGGCCAAGTCTTGAAGACTCACACATGGAACAAAGAGGCGCCATCCGCTCAAATTGCCACAATAAGACAACAAAGGACACACCCAAGAAAGCTGCCTCGTGTATCTTCGTGTAGGGCTATCGACTCACCGCTTGACTCGACATCTCGTCCTGCCGTTGAAGGGCCACCGGCTCTCTCCAATATCGCAATTTTGTTGAAGAAGAAATCACATATCCCAAGATCGCAACCAAAGAAGTGAAAGGACAGAGCTGAAAGAAGGCATCCAAGAACTAGGTCCCAAGAACTAGAGCATTGCCCGAGAAGCGACTGGTGCATCTCGCCACGGGCTGGCACCGCCCACAATTGAGCCCTGGAGCCTCAGTGGCTACTGTTTTCCAGTTTTCCATTATTTTCCTTTACCGTGGGGGGTATCTTTTGGTTTAAAAGAGGGACCCTCTCAAGTTTCGGCACGAAAGTTCCACCAGGTTCCGGAAGGAGCGAACCGAACGAAGGTTCCGGTTGCCAGAGGTTCTGGTCAAGTGGATGCCTTCATGGAGCCATCGGCTGCAGAAAATTGCAGATGCTCCATGCATACGGCGTACGTGTCTTTTGCAAAAGAAACATGTAAATTGAGGGTTCCAACTGTTGGTAGTTTCTTGCATGACACCAGCAACTGTGCTCTCACCAGCAGGCAACTGGAGCAATGCTGCAACATTCTTGTTGGACTAACTAGCTCGGAGTTTGCCATCGAACGGAGAAGACATCGTTGTTCGTGGTGTATCAATGTATGCAGCTGCGCTGGCAGGTTCTGCAACAGCAGCAGGAGCAGAAAGCCGGGCCCTGTGGATCCAACTTGTTGGTGGAAGGGTTAGAAGCACAGCTGAAGAACATCATTATTGTATTGCTGCTGTATTACTATTGAATGTATATAGTGAGATATAGTGAGTTTCATACTTGTCCTCCACGCAAGGCTTTGCTTCAAAAGCCAAAAGAAGGTGGGCAGCAATTGCTTTGTCGGACCAGCCTACTGCACCATTACACACTGGAAACCCTTCCCTGCTCACATTCCTCAAGCAACACATTTCAGTTGAATGACAAACGATTAAGGTTTTGTTAAAGAATTTGGAAGCTGCTCTAGACGGCGAAGGCTTACTTCATGAAGCACTTTTTGCTTGCAGAACGGTGGTGATTGCAGCGAGCGTTGGTCCCGCGTTACCATACCTTTTCTTCGAATCAACAATCGCTTGCCTATAGTCACTACAAGCGCTTCCAACCCATTTGCTTGTGTAATCACCAAAATCAAGCTTGCCAGGTGTATCACAGCTGCTGGGATGCAAGCAGAACACCGATTCTGGATTGCAAGTCGCCCAAAGCGCTTTTGGACTACAACACTAGAGACATATCAAGTGTACAGTATCAGTGTCAGTATAAGGAAGTTTGTCACCTATCATCCTTAAGCACGGCCCAGCACGGCCCGCAGATCGTGCGTGTTACATACTGAATCATGGTTAAGCATCACTTCAGCATGGAAACTGCATGAAACTGCTTGTGCTTGGGAAAATGGTCCGTCAGCCACTGGCAAGTTGGGGACCTTCACCCCGTCGGTGTTTTCAGCATGGGTTGCCGCCCTGTCCTAGATGGCTCGGAAGAACATGACTGTCAGTGGAAGAGGATCAAGATGGATCAGGTAGAGTGGAACCGGCCGGTACCGGTTCCTTCTAGCCACCGAGTTACACTCTTTTGAATACTATAATGTTTTATCCTTTTTCTCCACACATGCTTTTTAGGAGTTTCTCTTGTGACTCTGTGTCCAGAAGGGCCCTTGTGAGCCACTTGCATCCTGCTTGAGGTCTCAAGCTCCAAGCCATTGGCCCCAGGTGGTCCAGACGCGAAGCTTTGTACTAGGAACAAGGACGCTACTAGGGGCCAGGGCCTCGCTACTAGGAGCAAGGGCCTTACTACTAGGAACAAGAAGCTAGTAGAGACAAGAATTAGTAATTAGAATTAAGTTTTCGTAGAATTAAATTAAACTAAATTTGCCGTACATTTGCCAATGCTTCAAGTTCGAAACAACCGACAACTGACGTGTCGAAAGCATCTGGTGAGCCTTTTTTCGGGTGCGCCTGACATTCAGTCACTTGTCTCAGTTACTTCAACTCTCAGTCTGCATGAGACTTTATTCTTCCAGCATTTTGCCACCTTGGCGATGTGGGCTTAGCCACGCCTTGTATTCTGGAGGTGTTTCTGCAACCGCCTCCTGCCAAGCATCCAGCTTTGGAGAAGCAGGAGCCCCTTCTACAACTACCACCTTTGTATCTTGGCTGCTGCTTAAGCATGCAACCCTGTGTGAGTCCATGCCTGGCTCTTTCGTCCTCTTGATTCACAGGGAGTTCTGTCAGTGTGAGTGCATCAGTGGGTGAGATAGAAAGCAAGAGTCTGAAACAGACGAGGGAGGCGATGTTGAACCAACGGAACCGAGCAGCAGCAGAACATGTAGTAAAGCAACAAGCTAACAAGCACAAGGTTCCGAAGTTGAACAATTACAGTGTGAAAAGGCTACACCACAGGTCATCAACATAGACATGGAACACAGCCGCTTTGTAGAGGAAGATGGTCTTAAGAAGGTCCTTTTTCATACCTGTGTCAACGACCAGTGTATGTGTTTGGTCAGGGTTGAAGTCTGAATTGTTTGGACAAGATTGGACAAGTCAAGGCCGACAGAAAACATACCGGGAACCCGGCAGTAACCTCAAAATGGATCCTACCACAGTAAGTAGATCTCTCTTCAAAACATGTATGGGAAAACCGTTTCGATCAATCCCTTCTTGTCTGACCCGGACCTCGGAAACCCGATGCGGACCCGGTCAGGCTGCAGAGCATCCCTCCCAAATCGGAGAGGCGAAGAGAAACGGAAGGGAGCCAGAATCGCAGCCCCATGGTGGCCCTAC